AACTAATACAAATAGAATTCCAGCCCACTGTTACTCCTAACATAGTATTAATAATAATAATCCTAATAGGCTCTGCTCAATGTACATCTAGGACAAGCCCAGCCATCAGTAATAATATGCAATTTCTGTTTTCTAATTGAGTATTAGAAGACCAGGAGTTTATTCAAAAAAATTTCATCTGCCAAGGGGATTAGATGTTTTGTGGTCATGGAACTATATCCATTAAACATTTTATTTTCTGCAAAGAAATGGATCCTTAAACAATATTGCCTAAGTGTTAGATTTTTTGGGCTTATGTTCTTTTGTTTTCAAGTTTTTTAGGCTATAATTGCGTCATCATTTGGAATGTGTGTTGTGGCCGTGGGGGTTATATATCCTCCGAAAGGATTGTGTTCTTTCCTGCATTACTTCGTTAATGTTTGAAACAGAAATAGTATTATTTTACACAATTTTCTTATGCTTTCCTCTTCCTTTTAATCCTGTTTGTTTTTTAGTTTTTCTGTTCTTACATCCTTCAAAACAATCAATTGCAGGATGTTGCAGTGAAAATTCTGATGGAACAGGATTTTCATGCTGAGCACTTCAAGGAGTTTCTGAGGGAGGTATGCTTGAAATTTTAAAGTCACAATCATGCTTTGTGTATTTTTTCAATATTTGCCTGCTGTTTATTTAAGCTGTGTTTTCCCTTCTCTTGGTAGGTTGCAATAATGAAACGTTTGCGGCATCCAAACATTGTTTTGTTTATGGGGGCAGTCATTCAGCCCCCTAACTTATCAATTGTCACGGAATATTTATCAAGGTTGTACTCATCTACCTGTTCCTCATCCTTTTCCCTAAAAGAGGGAAGTTTTTCCAGGCTGTAGAATTATAGGATATTTGGACCGTGAGATTCTAAGAGTTTTTTACTGAAGTGCAGGGGTAGCTTATATAGGCTGTTGCATAGATCTGGTGCCAAAGAGGTGTTGGACGAGAGGCGTAGGCTAAGTATGGCTTATGATGTGGTATGTATTTAACTGTTTCTGTTTTTATTATTTTTTGAAATTATGATGTCATAATCTTTGTATTCTTTGATTAATATCTTATTTTGTCATTTGCAGGCAAAGGGAATGAATTATCTTCATAAACGTAATCCTCCCATTGTTCACAGAGATCTGAAATCTCCAAATCTTCTTGTTGACAAGAAATATACGGTGAAGGTAAGAGTGAAGTTTTCTCTAGTATACCAAATACAAATAGTCTTTTAGAGTTTCATAAAAGTCATTTTGTCAGCCATGTCAGTTGAATTCCACTTCTCTTGCAGATAGCCTTTCTGGTTCCACATGGCATGACAGCTCTTTTAGATTTTCTAGAGAGATGGAGCTAGACGAATAGACTATTGATTTGATTGTTTTCTTGAAATAGTAATTAATACCTTTTTGTCTTGGTAGATTCTAGTAATAATTTGGTATTTTGATTTGATTTGGATAATTGTGAACTTGTGGAAAATTGAGTTTATTGCAAAACTTGCTCTATTTTGATAGAAGTTTCAGCCTTCTGGTAATTAGTTGTACTGGTTTTGGTGCAAATTTGTGAAGTTGTTGAAAGACATTTAGTATGATAATATGTACAGTGTGTTTGTAACAGTTTGTCTGGGCGAGGTTTCCTTTTTTTTTTCTTTAACTTATTGGGGTTGGTGCGTGGGAGGGGTTGATCTGTGTTCTTGGACATTAATGGAGGTTTTCCCCTTCTAAATGATATTGCCTACTTTGTAGGTTTGTGATTTTGGGCTTTCCCGTCTGAAGGCCAATACGTTTCTCTCATCCAAGTCAGCTGCTGGGACTGTAAGTTCTCATTGGCTACAAATATTTTTGTTCTGTACGTCTTATGTTTGAGAGGTACATTTTAATTTTCTCCTTTTCCTCCCATAGCCTGAATGGATGGCTCCAGAGGTTCTTCGTGATGAGCCATCAAATGAGAAGTCAGATATTTACAGCTTTGGTGTAATCTTATGGGAGCTTGCAACATTGCAACAGCCATGGGTTAATTTAAATCCAGCACAGGTTTGTTGTATAACTTTTATACATGATATTTAAATCCAGCCATGGCTTAATACTTCTATTATAATTATATTGTTTCAGCATTTATGAAACTTGTGATGTGAAATGAATGACCATAAGAAAGTATAGTACGAATTTGGAATAGTGTGTTGCTGGGAATAAAAATTTGGAAATGGTTGCAAGAAATGTATATTGGTTGGAGCATGTATGGACAAGCCAACAATGATGGGTATTGAAGGTTTAAGGTTTAAGGTTGTGTCTGAAGTGCCATAATATCATTTTTTTACTTTTGAGGATTATCCTGTTTCACAGTGGTCATTCATTGTTGTGTCATGCTTCCTTTGGTTGCATTTGCATGCTCATAGAGATAAGTGTAAGAAGGAAAGGAGAGAGACTCGAGGGTTAAGGAGTGTTGTGGGCGAAGGGTTCACACGCCGTTAAGTTTCTACAACATACTTATTTATTTTGTTTCAATGTTACGAATTCATATTGGCCTGTAGGTTGTGGCAGCTGTCGGTTTCAAGGGAAAAAGGCTTGAGATCCCACGTGATGTGAATCCCCAAATAGCTGCCCTAATCGAGGCTTGCTGGGCCAAGTGAGTTCAGATGCATTTGCCTTTATGTATTTCAATTAAATATTCAATCATAAAGTTTTATTGATATACTTGGTTTACTGCAGTGAGCCTTGGAAACGACCTTCTTTTGCGAGTATTATGGATTCTTTGAGGCCATTGCTCAAACCTCCTACACCTCAACCTGGTCGCCCGAGCATGTCATTACTCAACTGACTGGAACACCAAGTTGCTTTTCATGCACATATGACAGGATTTTATTGATCTTGATGTCTAACAAGATTACACTATTTTTAGTTGTCCCTAGCTAGGTACGTAATTCCATAAAGTTCTTCTTGCCAACAATAAATCTAGATGGGACCTAGTATTTCTCAATCTTAGCATGTGTTGTGGGTAAGGGGAATGACTATCGATTTTCTAGCGGAAATATTGATTTTCTCATTATTATAATTGGAGTTTTCACATACACAAGCTTCGGTTAAGAGAATTAATCATGCTAAGCGTAGTTACAATTTAAATAAAATATGGTTGGAATTTATCTTTATTTATTGTGTCCTTGTTGATCGCGTGTCTTACCTCGTGGTCAAACTAATACTTGTTCATGTCTTTTGGTTGCAGAGTCAATTGTATATTTCTTTAATTCAGGTTTAAGAATACTGATTTCCGACGCAGAGCAAGGATACTCCTCTTTGTTGTTCCAACAGAATTGTTTGATTAGGTAATCTTGTAATTTTACTGAGAAATATTTTATTTTATTTCTTTCATAGTTTTTTATGTAAAAAGACATTCCCATTGTAATTACATTCAGTTAATGATAAGCAGCTTTGCTAGCGGTGTTCTACATTTTTCTGCCTGAATCATTGAAGAGACACTCTGTACTTTAATCAATTCCATGGTAGGAGTCCTTTCAAATCAAATGGTCCCTCCTTCATACCATCTGTCTTGTACTCGATTTTGGTATTCGTCTTTCTGCTCCTCGTGCTGGAATGTCAGTCATACTTGAGTCCCACGCGACTCATTGTACTCTCGCCACATTAGAATTTTGAGAAAAAATAAAATAAAATCCGTTAATCGCTTGTTAATGTACAAGATAGTGCTTATAAGTTACTCTCTTGGTACCAAGTTATTTGCATTTTAAAGGTTTTTACATATAAACTGAGTATAATAATCAATAAGTTTTACATATCAATTAAGTTTAGTAATAAATCACTTTCTTAAGGAGTTTAATTATGGTGCTTGAACAATTACCAGAGACATAATACTCAAAATTAAGATTGAGTTTATGTTAAGACAAATTAAAGTAAAAATAATCAATAGTACATCGTAATTTAGAAGATAAATTATTCATTTTGAAATATTATAAATGTGAAAGTTATAGATAGTTTGAGATGAAAGAAGTATATAAATATTTAATCTTTTCGACATAAAAGATATTTGAAACTCAAACATGACATTTTTATCAGAAGAAAATACGTAACGGTTTTTCTTTAAGTTAAAATTAATTTATATAAAAATGAATCTCTAAAAAAATTATGTAACTTTAATAAATTTTTATTTTAATTTGTATAGAAGTTAATTTAATTAAAAAAATATTTATTTGTTCTTAAAATTTATGAAGTTTGTGAAAACCTATTCTAAAAGAAGAATAGTGGCATTGAGCAGGTGAGAAGCGAATGGGAATCCACCATGAAGTTGGCATAGAGCCTAACCAGACTCTGATTACTCTCATACCCTGAATAATTAAGACAAAGGTGGGGCACGGAAATACCATGAGCATAAAAAATAAAAGATTTTCAACATAATTAATTTGCATTTTATTGATCAATTAAAGCTTTTTATGCAAACAAAATTGTTAAAGTATATTTTTTCAGAAGAAATAATCGAAATCTCTGGCTAAGATCAATAGGAAGAGGTTTTAATAATGTGCAATAAATTAAAAGAAAAGCCACGGGCCCAGAAAAAAAGACAAGTTTACTCCTCCGCTATTGGGTGGTAGGGTTCGCTTGGGCACTAAGTATTTGACTTGACCAGTGGGTCTGAGAGTGACCACAAAATCCAACCCAACCAACCACTAAATAAAGAGCAGTGCGTGTGACAAAAATATCTACCCAACAACGCGGTCCCAACACACAAACACTGTTCCCTCAAGAATCAACCATCCCCAGTTGTAACTAACCAACGTAACTGCCACGAAAGAAACCAACCTCAAATATTAATCAAAGTCGGCACTCTCGTACTCACACTTCTCACTGTGCAATGGCCCTCCTCTGCCACCGCCATTCCTCCACCCTCCACCGCCCTCACACCCTTTTAATATCCCCTTTCTTACCCTCCAAACTCCAATCTAAACCTAATTATTATTATTATTCCTTAATTACTCTTCACACTTCACAATGAACCCCAGCGATGACAACTCTCCCAAGCCGTTGGAGGTTCTGCAAATGAACCCGGTTCCGCCGTTTTTGTCCAAGACCTTTGACCTCGTCGACGACCCCTCTCTCGACCCCATTATCTCGTGGGGCTCCACGGGCTTTAGCTTCGTCGTGTGGGACCCTCTGGAGTTCGCCAGAATCGTGTTGCCGCGTCATTTCAAGCACAACAACTTCTCCAGTTTCGTTCGCCAGCTCAATACTTATGTGGGTATCTTCCCTCTGCTTTCACTGAGCCAGCCATGGCTTTTTCCTTTCATCTTTTTATAACTGTTCTTTTGATTTTGGTTTTTGGGTATGTATGTAAAGTTGAGTGTTTTTGTAATTTGGGCGGGATTGACTTGTATGTACTTTGATTGGACGAGTTGATGTCCACTGGCGTGTTGGAATGTATGAATTTGAAATTTTGACGCATTTGGATGTTGTGTATTGTTCCTTATATTGGTAATAAGGTTTCTTGATTGCACCAATCTGATTGCATGCGAGTTTGTAATGGTTAGGGGTGTAGTGTATTTGCGCGGGGAGTGAGAGTGAGGCTTAGTTTTTTGTAAGTCCTTGTTTGTTTACCTATTTCAAATACAGTTCTTTGTTTTTTTGAAAAATTGTCTCCCAGCCCCATCGCATTGGAAAATGTTTGTCTCGTGAGCACATTTCTGTTTTTTAAAAGTTTGTCTCCTGAGTACTTGAATAGTTAGTACTTGAAGAAAACAAAAAGGATGGGGAAACGTGTGTTTGCTTTTGGATTTTTAAAACATCTCCTAGTTTTAGAAACAATTTTCACAACTTAATAGATTTTGGATGAGAAATTGATTTCTTGGTAGTATCAAATTGATTTAGAAACCAATTTTTAAAACAGAAAGTGAGAAGAGAATCAAACAATCCCTATGTTACTTGCTTGTATTTTCTCGTTTTTTAAAGACATAGTTAGTTTAATACTTGAATAAAGATTGTAGGGCAGTTCCAATGTAGTTGACAATTGGAGGAATAAAGAGAGAAAAGGAAACAAATGTAGGTATGATATGTAATATAATATGATAAAAAGACCGACAGAGATAAATGATAGAATAATGAGGTATTTGAAACAATAGTATTTGCATATCATGACTGATATTTTGGTCTGCAGAATCTCCCTATTGTAATTGCTGCTATCTTGAGATATACTGTTGCGAGTCTTTCGTTTCATTTTGGGTTATTGCTTATTACTGTTACTAATGGAATTGAGTAATAAGAATATGGTTTGGATTTTTACTGATTGCATTGTAGTTAGGATTGGGACTTGAGAGATTACTACTACTACTGCTGGAAGTGACAACAGGAGAAATATTCTCCCTCCTGTAGAAGGGATTTCATCTTCCACAGGTAGTTCTCAGGGTTCTGTGGGGTGTGTCATTTTGACTTTTCCTTATGTCTGTGTAAAGCTTGCTTTGATTTATACATTGCATTCTCTAGTATAGCCTGCTCTCTCTATCATATCATAGTGCCCAAGTTTTGGTGTACCTAAACATATATATCTTGTTTTCCTTTGCTAATATGTATTCCATTCCCCCCTCCCCTCTTCATTCTTCTCTTGGGGCTTTATGCTTCTGCTCCACACATTCTCAGGTAACTTGGTGTTTGTCTCCAGGGATTCCGCAAGATTGACACAGACAAGTGGGAGTTTTTTAATGAAGCATTCCAGCGAGGGAAGAAGCACTTGCTGAAGAACATCCAAAGACGCAGGTCACAACAATCCCAGCACGTTGGTAGCTATATTGGAAATGGATCGTCTACTGAGGCAGGGAGGTTTGATGTTGAGGTTGAGATAGAGAAGCTTAGGAAAGAAAGGACCATCTTGATGGAAGAGGTGATTGATTTGCAGCAAGAGCAACGAAGAACAGCTAACCGTGCAGGAGAAGTGAATCAAAGGCTGCAATCTGCAGAACAAAGGCAGAAACAAATGGTTTCTTTCCTTGCTAAGTTGATCCAAAACCCAGCCTTTTTAGCCCGCCTTAGGCACAAGAAGGAACAAAAAGAGATAGATTCTCCAAGAGTAGTAAGGAAGTTTGTCAAGCAGCACCAACATGAAACTGGAACAGCAGAAGCTCTCAAAGAAGGACAGATAGTGAGGTATCAACCTGATTGGACAAATATAGGCATGTCTTCTGAAACTCCAAAACTAAGTCCAGTTTCCATTGAACAGTCTCCTCACTACACTTCACAGGGCTTGGCAGGAGAAATGAGTGGAGGTGCGGAAGAGCTGACTGCTGCTCAAATTGAGAATATTGTATCACATGACTTGGCTGCAATGCACGGGATCACACCACCTCAAGAAATGATGATTGGAGAAGGATCATCCAGCTTTGGAGCTGAAGACCCCCTTTTCAAAGGGAAGAGTGTTGTGAACCCAAGTCTAGAACTTCCTCCAGAGTATTTTGCATCCTTCCCAGAGGTTTTGTCCAAGGAGAAAGGCTTTCTAGATTTTCCTACTCTTGGAACTGAAGACATTATCAAGCTTGAAGATATATGGGACTCTGGCCTCAATCTTAGTGGTGCAGCTTCAAGCTGTGGGAATGAGCTGTGGGGCAATCCCATGAATTATGAAGATGATCCAGAGTTTGGAATAACAACTGGTTTGTCTGAGTCAGACATCTGGGATATTGGATCAGGAAGTTTGGGAATTGATAAGTGGCCAGGTGATGAACCTTCTATCGGTGAAATAGATGGTCAAGCTGGTCATCCAAAAGAAGATAGACCTAAGAATGTTGATCCATAGGGCTTCTTCTGCTCCTGCACTTGTTGCCATTTTGGTAATTGCTATGTCTATGGTTCCTAGGGGCCATATTATTTTATAAACAGAATTCATTCACCTGTTTTTATTCCTAATTTATTTTCAATTCTTTATTCTTTTTTTATTAATTCTTTAATTGTCCATAATTTTCTTTGTAAATTGTAACTGTGCAATTATTGACAACTTCCATATTCAAGTAAACTTCCTTATTTATACTGTTCTGTTGGAACGTGACTTCTCAACCCACAAACCGGATCATTTGAAAGTTCACGTATACATGCTTATTATAAATATAACAAAAATTTAAGCAGTAATAGGTAACTGATGAAATTCATATAAAATCTGGCAAGAAAGGAGAAGAGTTTTCTTGTTTCAATTGAAGCCTTGTGGTGAAACTCAAAAAATACTGATCTCCAAGATTCCTTACTCACTATATCGCCTTTCTTCACAACCTTAACTATTTTCTTTTACTTTCAATTTATAACCTAAAAATACAGACACAGACCCCCAGAGGAATCAGAAGTCCAAGTCCAATAACTTTCTCACAAAAATATATTGGAACGTGAAGTTGAAAACTTTCCAATAGGTAGAACATCGGGAGAGTGTAAATAAGATCCAGTAACCCTGGGTTGAATAACTAAGTCACGACCATTTAAAAATAAAATGCTACAATCAGACAACACAACCTGATTAGAAAAAAAGGACATCCATCTGAATTTTGAATTACTAATATAACAACAGTAGAAGCTCCGACCATGTTTTTATAAAACTAGCTGATAAAGAATAACATTTTAATTTGGCAAAATATGAAGGGAAAAATACAGAGAAAAATGATGACAAAACCCCTGAAATCATGAATATTCATGACACCAAAAAACATGCAGATTAATATAAATATGATCTACAATTGATCACTTTAAAATCGGAATCCAGGTCATGACAAGAGGTGTAATTTGTAAGTATTAAGAATCTTCCTTCTTCCGTTTAGGAGCATTTTCATCCTTCTCGTTTTTCCCCTTTGCTTCTCGGCGCTCCCTCTTGACTCCTTTTGCTTTGTAAGGTAAAGCTGTTTCTCCAACCTAAACAATCACATATTGTTGCAACTGGTTAGATATCTTTAAGACCAAGCAAGAAAAGTAAGATGCAAGGGCCACGTTCTTTTAATTTTACCAGAAGGAGCTAATATAAAACAGTTTATGCAATGAAAATTGTTGGTATTACCTTCTGATCTGGAATATATATACTTCCAATCTTTCCCTTCAATTCATCCTTTTTAACATTTTTCTCCTGTGAGAGTCACAGAGCAAGAACACAAATAAGGTATGCAATTTCATTTTACAGTAACAGATAAACCAAAGAGATTTGAACATGTAGCCAACCTTTTTCTTTGGCTTCTCCCTTGACGTTTTCATTGCTTCCTTCCTCAAACTTTCATTAGGAGGACGATGCCGACGAATAACAAAATCCATGGACGGGCCAACTTCTTCCAATTCCATCCTTGGCACAACAGTGCCTGACTTTTTCAGCCGCAGTGCACAGTGTGTAAAAAGCACCCGATTCGGAGAAAGGGCAGCACATACATATGCCCTGTCAACTCCAGCAAGATTTAGATTCTCCACAACCTGCAGAATCCATCACATCACTTCTTTTAATATAAGCCAAAAGCTAAAAGTGATGCTACAAGACCACAAAAACCAATGGCCACGCACCTCACCACGAAGAAGATCAAGCAAAACTTCCTTTAAATGTCTTAGCTCTTCTACAGCCTCAAATCCTTCTCCAATAAAAACAATAAAAGGCTTTGACCCTTCCTTAGGAGCCAACTTCTTATCATAACTAAAAGATTCCATGGGTTTGAAATTTTCAACTCCAACCTCCACTAAATCGTAGATATGATGGTCATAAGTTCTCCCTATAACAAGGTTATCAGGCCGCTTCTTCGAGTGAGATCCGTACTGCAAAAATACAAACAAAACCAAAAAAACATTAAAGGAATGTTTGGATGGAGAATTTGAAGATAGTAATTCAATTTGTAAGTAAATTTAAAATCCCATACACACATCAAATCACTTTGGGAAATCAAATTGAAAGAATCATTAAAATGATGGAAACTTTAGAAGGATATTTGTCAAGCAAGATGAGAAATAAGTAAATTTAAATAAAAACTAAAGTGAAAGAAATTAGTGTGTGCTAGCACGTTTGATACATGCATTCTCAGTACTTTTGCATCAAATCTCAAGTTTATGCAGAAACTACGTTGGATTGCATTGGTTTCCAAGTGGATCTATACTTAGTTGACAATAAACTAGACATCCAATTAGAAGTTTTGCATCTTTACATGATCTCAACGATAACACACTTATCTCAAAACTGATGCAATATCTTTCACTTGAGCACTCTCTTTTTCTCAATTTCAACTACTATGAATTTTGTATAAACTTATAATATTTACATTTTTTTTTCTCAAACAATATTTTCATAGCTGCAATTATATCCGAAATCAAAACACCAAGAGCAAAGGATTTGAAAAAAATAGAAATTTTAAATGCCTTCTCCATGCAAAATACTGATTTTAACAAGACTAATTAAACAAATTCAGCATATACATAAATTCCAAGCCTTTTAAATTCATTTAAAAATTTGAAATCCATTCCCCCAAACACTACCCGAAGTCGTATTATACTTTTTTTTCTACAATTTTGTGCTATAATAAAATAAAAAAGGCCTTGTATTACCACAACACACCACTGTTATCTCACTAATCACTGCTATACTCACCATAATGAAAATCCACAATATTTATGCATTCGTAACCCTAACGGAACGGAGAGTAATTACCACAAAGATGCTGCAATCGGTTTTGAGAGAAAAAAACTCAAGAGAAGTCTCGCCACCGGCTTCGAAAGGCTTAACGTTCTCGTTCTTCCGGCTGAACTTGACGGCGTTGTCCTTCTTCAGGTGATAAATCTGCGTCAGCACGGCGTTCAGCACGCCGCTGGTCTTTGTTCCATGCAAGATCAGCGTTTTCTTCCCCGATTCCACCTGCGAAAAGATTTCCCCGCAATATGTAACGATTTACTGGAAAAAGAAACGGAGAGGGAGAGAGGAAAAGGGATGAATACTTACAAGTTTGGGGGCGCGCTTCTCGAGCTCCCGCTTACCCTTGCGGGTCTTGGCGGTTTTAATTTCCAACATCGCAAGGAAAACACAGAGCACGCAGCTCTCCACACACTCTCACGTTTTAGGGGTTTTCACCAGGACGCAGGGTTTTGTGTTCCAATTTTGTTCCTCTTCAACTAAACCCTACACTGTTTTATTTCTCCCCTCCTTTATCTTTTAAACTATTTTCTCGTGAACGGATTATCATTTATATTGATCAAATATTGTAAATATTATATATATAATTAATTTTATTTTTGTTAAATATATATTTGATTTGGTTATTATTTAAAATTATTTATCTCATCCTCTTTTTTTTTCCTGCAGAGACGTAAAAAATTGTTATTTTAGTCATTAATTTAATTTTTTATATGTATAATTGATAATTTTTTTTATAGAAATAAATTAAAACACAGTTTAAAGTTAGTAGCTAATAATGTTTGGTATATTTTTTAAGGACTTGTAATTTTATGTTTAAAAAATAAACATGTGAAAGAAATTGAAAAGTGAAAATTTTATATTTTAAAATTAATTATATTTTGATATGACATATATGTAAGACAATTAAAATATATCAAAGAAGTAGTACACAAGTGAAAAATTGTTGAATAAGGAATAATTTATCAACGATTAATCTGATAAAGTATTTGAATCTAATATTATTTTGAAATCATTGTTTAAGGACATGAGTATCCAGATGGTTTTTCTCTGCAACTTATCTTGTTGCGTTGTAAACACATCCTACCATAATAAAGTATTAATAAAAACGGAATATTATTAAGTCTTTATTATATTATAAACTGAATTATATATATATATATATATATATATATATATATTTAAATATTGTCAAGAATCAAAATATTTATGTTTTAATAACAATAGTTTATAAATGTTTAAAACTTTTAGTTCCTCAAAACTATTAGAGATAAACGTTCTAATACTAATTATTAATTTTATTTTAACAAAATTTTGTGTAAAATTAATTTTTTTTTAAGAAAATGTGAGATTAGTTTAGTTATGACCTTTCAACTTTTTGTCATTTATCTAATCAATTGTGTGTCTTTTACTTTTTAAGTTCTTCGATTTTTTTTTTATTTTTATTTTGATTAATCCTTTATAGTTTTCGAATAACGTGATAAAAAATAGCTTCGTGAAAATTTCAATAATTTAATCTCTATTATGAGTTCTACATTTCCTTCTTCGCATATTATCAGATGAAGTGAAAACACACATTAATGTGCTTACTCCTCTTATAATTGATCATACTCTTAGCTAGTTAAATATTCAACTTGTTATTAACTTGGATTATGGTTGCACCAAGTTATTTCTCCTCCACTGAGCTTAGCAAATTTTTAAGTCATACTACATGACACACACCACGATATTGCTACATACTCAGCTTCACACGTTGATAACATTATTATGGGTTGGTTCTTCGAAAGTCAGTCAAACGTTGTGTTACCCATGAAAAATACATACCTCAATTAGGCATGGCAATGGGACGGGGGCAGGTTTTGCCTCCCCGACCCCCGCCCCTGACTTTTTTAATCGTCCCCGTCCCGCCCCGATCCCTGCCGGGTTAAAAATCAAGTCCCCATCCCCGTCCCGTTGGGTTCCGGGTTTCCGCCCCACCCAGTCCCAGTTCTATGGTATTATTTTAAAAGTAATTATATATAAATTATAATAAAATAATTTAAAATTATTATCTTTTACATTTTATTTTTTATAAAAAATAAATATAATATTATAACTTTTAGAATATTATTATTGATTGAGTGTATATTTGAATTTATTACGTTTATATTAAAATATTTATGCACAAAAAATATATTTGATTATTCTTTTTCCTTCTTATTATAAGTTGTTAATCCTTTAAAACTATTAATCCTTGTAGAAAATATATAATAAAAATAAGTTTCAACTAATGATCCTTTTAAAATAATTATGAAATACATTTAAAAATACTAATAAATAAGTAAACAAAGTTTCTCATGGAAAATAATATAAGAAAAGTTGCATAATAATGCATAACCGTGCATAACAATACATATAAGAAAAATAACAAATATTGGATAATTTAATGATCATCCTCCAAATGAGCAACAATGCTACTTGTCCATCAATTCACCTACATAATTTAAAATAAAATATATTATTGAAAAGAGAATTAAAATATTAAAAAATAAATAATAATATTTTTTTAATGAATAAAATAATACCTTCATCACCATAATCCATCTCATTGAGTAAAATAGCATAGTCATCAATTAGTTGAGAATTCACACCACCTAAAGATAAAATATAAAGAGAATACTTGGTAAAGTCTAAAAATACAATAATTAAATATATATTTAAAAAGGTATATAAAACATTACCGTTATTTTCAGCACTCCATAACCAACTCCTAGCACACATCAAAGCCTCTAGAGTAGTCCAATGAAGTCTACTGCGATGGAGGCTTAATATTTGACCACTAATACTAAATGCAGATTCAGAAGTTATAGTAGAGATAGGGATAGCTAATACATCTTTAGCAATTGCTTGAAGTGTTGGGTATTTGACTCCATTCAACTTCCACCACATTAGAATATCAAAATCAGTTTTTCTTGGTAAAACCTCTTCTTCTAAATAATGGTCTAACTCTGTTTTAACATATGTATTTCTTGCCCTTTTTTTTCTCAAAATATATTTGTCATACTCAGTTAATGCATCACCAGCAACATTAGTACCATCCCTTGTTGGAGACTCGCCAAATGTGTCTTTATTCATTTTTGTTTGATACTCAGAAATCAAGTCATAACATAATTAACGAATCATCTTAACTTGCAAAAAGTATTCATGACCATACAACTTTTCATAATAATATTCAAGTAACTCCATTTTGTATCTAGGATCCAAAACAGTAGCAACTCCCATAATAGCATGAATCACATTCCAATACTTATCAAATTTGAACAATATGTTCTCAGACATTTTTTAATCACTTCATTTGGAGATGCAATCCACTCAGTCAATGTCAATTTAATCTCACATATATTGAGAAAATACAAATTAGCAGTTGGATGTTTAGTAGCAGAAAATAATTCTGTTATAAAATTGAACAATTTCAACTTTTCACAAATATCCTTTGCAAACTGCCATTGTAAACTAGTTGACAAACAAATATACTGAGAATCTCGTTGCTTCAATCGATTAAACACATCTTCATATATTATGGCAATTTCAAGCATTTTGTATGTTGAATTCCATCTTGTTGGACAATCTAAAACCAAGCTCCTAGTACAAGAGATGTGCAATTACTTTGCTGTTTCTTCAAACTTTTCTTTCCTCTTAGGTGTTGCAGACCAATATGCTACACTACCCCGAATTTTTTCAATCTCATCTTTCACTACTTCTAGCTCATCTTTAACTATCAAATTTAATATATGAGCACAACAACGCATGTGAAGTAAATCCCCATCTCTCAATAAAGTGTTAATTTGCAATTTACCCTTAATTTTTTTAACCATAGCATCATTTGTAATACAATTATCAAGGGTAATAGTGGATAATTTTGTATCAATGTTCCAATCCATCAAACATTCAACTAATGCATTGCAAAGTCTATCACTTGTGTGAGGAGCTGGAACATAAATGAACCTAACATAATAATATTCACATAAATTTAATTAATATTTAATCATTTTACCATACGAAAATAAAATAAAAATAATATAAAATATGACTAGGAAAGTTATTTGTTACCTTAAAATGTGACTCTGTAAGTTCCAAGAATCATCAATATAATGAGCAGTGACAGCCATATATCCTCTTTGTTGATTACCTGAAGTCCACATGTCTGATGTTATAGCCACTCTTCCTTCAAGGCTATCCAATGACTTCAAAATTATTGATTTCTCAGACTTGTAGACTTTGAATATTTCCTTTTTAATAGTGTTTCTAGAAGGAACTTGAAATACTGATTGAAGAGCATATGAGTATCTCTTGAAACCAATATGATCTACAATTGAAAGTGGATATTCATGCATAATAATTGCATGTGCAAGTTCTTTTCTTACATGTTCTGCATCATAAATTCCTGTACCCAACTCTTGTTTACCTTTTATAACTTTAGGAGTAAGAAATATTTGTCCTTTTTTCCCTTTAGTAGAAATCTTGAATTGAATACAATTATCATTGTGTTGCCATAGGTGTTTCGTCCTATTTTTTGATTTTCCTCCCAAAAGTTTCTTACAATAATTGCAGTGAGCCTTATCCTCTCCATTAACTTGAATCTTTTGAAAATGTTGCCAAATCTTACTTTTAAGCCGATTTGATCCCAATGATATAGTCTCATCATGCTCATTATCTCTAGTTACTGGTGGAACTTCATTTGGTGTAGGAGTAGGACCCTCAAGGTTAAAATTTTCTTTTAACAATGATTCATGCGTACTTGCTTGTGTTGTTTCATTATTTTCCATTGTATATAAAAAAAATCCCTACCACCATAAACAAGACATGTATTATTGATTGCCTAAAGATAAAAAATCCTCTGTTTATTTCTTCTAAAACAAGACTTAAATTGATCATAAAAGATAAAAAAAATAAAATTATTTAATTAACATAAGATATGATATATGATAAATAAGAATAGTAAACCTAGAAAACATGATATAACGAAACCTAATAAAACCAAATTAGAAATAAAATGATACATTGATGTACATATTTAGAAAAAGATAAACAAAAAATTACCTTATGCGTTCGGTAAACTGGTTGAAAAGATTGGAGAAGTTGATCAGAGAACTCAAACTAGTTAAAGAGATAGGAGAAGCCAAATGTGAGTTGAACTAAGACTAGTTGTGAAGAGATTCAAAAAGACAGAAATTAAGAATAAATGGAAGTAAAGTGAAGGAAAGGAACACACTACGTAATGAGAAGATAAAGGGTATTATAAGAAGACAAAAAGGGTAATATGAAAAGACTAAGAGTAATGTGAAAAGACTAAGGGTAATGTGAAAAGACAGAGAGTTATATATCAGGATTTAAATTTA